CCCCAAGCGTGGGTCTGGCTGTCTGCCTGCCAAAGGCGACTCGAGAAAGCCTTGGCAGGAGACCAGCCTCACCCGGCAACTCCGGGAAAACAGCCCCAGCCCCAGCTCCGTCCCTGCTGGGAGGGCCCTGGGAGGGTGGCAGGGATGGCGGCCAAGCCGTGCTAGCGACGAACCTGCCCTGCCTGGTGGCCACAGGGAAAGCATCTCCACCAGGCTGAACCACCAGATGGGACAGAGCAACTGGTCCCCACCGCCCCCCTGGACCTGCCAGACCACCCATCCCTGCGCAGCACCAGACCCTGGTGATCCCAAGCGGCAGAAGCCAGTCCACAGAGTCTATGAAAAGCTTCACATCCTGGCAGAGCTGCCAGGAATCGCTGGCGTGGCAGATGCCTGCGCACGGGCGGATGTGTCCTTCCTGTGCCCCTGCTCCTGCCTTGCAGCGTGTCCCTCCTGGGGGCAATGTCCTCTCCCACCTCCTCCCTGCTACAGCCTTCTCTTCTGCTATCCTCCAGCTGTATCCCTACGGAAGAGCCAGATGAGAGCCTGGCCACAAAGCCAGGCTTACTGGGACTATGTTCATCAGTGACCTGCGATGGGCTGAGAACAGCCTATTTGGAAAATTCACCTTCCACTGCAAGGATTTGTCTTTCATAGTATCACAGAATGGTTTGGCTTGGAAGGGACCTTCATAATCATCTCATTCCACCCCCCTGGCCATGAGCAGGGACACCTCCCACCAGCCCAGGCTGCTCCAAGCCCCGTCCAACCTGGCCTTGGGCACTGCCAGGGATGGGGCACTCACAGCTTCTCTGGGCAGCCTGTGCCAGGGTCTCACCTCCCTCACTTTAAAGAAGGGTTTCATGATCCTTATCTTGTTCGAAGTGTGAAAAAGCAGGGAGAAATGTTGTGACGGTTTCCGGATGTCCTGTGGTTTGGAGAGCACCCAGCAGAGATGTCAGGGGGAGATGGTGGGAACGTGCCAGCTCGAGGGCACCAGATCTCATGGGAACCTTCAGCCTGCAGCCACGTTGCTGGGGCTTTCATGCTGTTCAATCCACCCCCCCTTGGCCTGGACATGCAGGGCACCTCTGTAACTCATCCTCTAAAAGGTCTTTAAACCCAACGAGCACCCTTAACGTTCCCTCGAAAACCTTCCTCTCTCCTAACCAATGATGATGGCTCTGCGGGACTCATGAAGGATGGCAAGAGACCAGTCAGACCACAGTACATGGAGAATTTTCTATTGCTTCAGACAATAAATAAAATTGTTTTTCTCTCCAGGACAAGCAGGTAACCTCTTCATTTTTCTTTTTCTATCATCATTTTACCTTCTGACCAACAACTGATATTTAAACATCCCCTGAAAGGCTCTCAAAATGCACAAAGTACATGCAAACGTCCACCTTTGTCACAGAGGTGAAATAAAATACCGTCAAAAGAAGAGTTTGTTCTGAAGCCTTAAATAATCAACACCATATCTCACAGGAAATGATCAGTTCTTCAGCTCAGCATGATTTACACAAGCATAATCAAAGAAGATAGAGCTGTGGTTTACCCAGACATGTCTTTTAGTGTTAAAGGGTTGAAAAAACAGAGCTGATAGAATCAGCATTGATTGTGGTCTCATCTCTCTTCAGCATCAGCATCACTGGCTGCCTTCCACTCCTCTGCCGAGCGGTCGGTACGTGCCGGACAGCATCCAGCTCCTCGCGCCCGGCGGGATGCACCCTGCTCCTCCCAGAGCTCCCCTTCCTCCAACTCGCTTCTCACTCAAGGCCATAAACCCCCACAGACTAGTTCTTTCCACCCCAGCCTGTCCCCAGAGCCACAGCTATTAAAAACAACCCAGCAAATGATGTAGACCACAATCAAACTGTCCCCAATCTCACAGAGCCACAGAACGGTTTGGGTTGGAAGCGACCTTCAAGATCATCTCCTTCCACTCCCTGGCCATGGACAGGGACACCTCTTTCCCACCAGCCCAGGCTGCTCCAAGCCCCGTCCAACCTGGCCTTGGGCACTGCCAGGGATGAAGCATCCACAGCTTCTCTGGGCAACCTGTGCCAAGGTTTCACCACCCTCACAGTGAAGAATTTCTTCCTCATATCTCATCTAAGTCTACCTCTTTCAGTTCGAAGTGGTTACCCCTTGTCCCATCCCTACACTCCCTGATAGAGTCCCTCCCATTTTCTCCCCTTCCATCCCTATCCTGGCACATACATGCCTCAATAGATTTCCCTGTTTGTGCTGCACTGTGAAGAAGACACTTTGTGTTTAAAAAAACCCAAACAAACTTGAAGCCAGGCTTGTACGCACTGATGTGGTCCAGGACACTGACCTGCACCATGCAAACAGCTGCTGACCCAGTTTGATGCCAGCAGTGGTGGGACACAGACGAGCAGGTCCCTTTCCTGTGTCACCATGGTCATCTTCACTGCCAGTTGCAGGGACCTGCTGGTTGGGCTTCCCTTGCGGCACCTGGCATCCCCAGTCCCAGCCGGGAGGCTCAGGCTGGTGGATCCTGCTGTTGATGGTGGGGGCTGAAGCTTGCAGAGACAGGACACTCAGAAGAAGGAGGACATGGACCTCTTGGAGCGAGTCCAGAGGAGGTCACAAAGATGATCGGGGGTTGGAGCACCTCCCCTACAAGGTCAGGCTGAGAGAATTGGGACTATTCAGCCTGGAGAAGGCTCCAAAAAGACCGCGAAGGGCTACCGGAAAGCTGGAGAGGGACTCTTTATCAGGGAGTGTAGCGACAGGACAAGGGGTAACCATTTCAAACTGAAAGAAAGTAGATTTAGATTAGGTATTAGGGAGAAATTCCTTACTGTGAGGGTGATGAGACACTGGCACAGGTTGCCCAGAGAGGTGGTCAATGCCCCATCCCTGGTATAGTTCAAGCCCAGGTCAGACAGGGCTCTGAGCAACCTGACCCCGTTAAAGATGTCCCTTCCCACTGCAGGTGGGTTGGACCAGATGACCTTTAATGGTCCCTTCTAAGCCAAACCACTCCATCATTCTACCACTCCCCAGCCCTTGCTACAGCCACTGCTTTGAGAGCAAAGAGTCCCTCAGCCCCTAGAGTCCCCACGCGATCCCCAGGTTAGCTGCTCCCGACCCAAAATCGCTTTGGTGGCGATGCTCTAGCACCCGTTACCAGAGGCAGTGACTTCCACAGCTGTAACCGAGATGTGGCACTGACCTCTAGTGACAAGCTCCCACCCGGGTGTTGCACAAGAGAAAGGCTGCGATGGAAAAAAAGGACTCAAGGTCACGAAAAGTGGGGATGCAGAATGCTCTTCCTCTTGCACAAATCCCAGTGAAGGGATCCTTCAGCTTGGTGGGCTGGGGGAACATTCCTGTGGGGGTCCAGCCACCCCAGCCCAGGACACCAGTCCAACCAACACAGATTGACGATACTTGAGATGGAATTTATTTAAGACAAGCCCAAATATCACACTTCACCAAGCGGGACAGCAGCGGCATTAGGGACAGGATGGGAAAGGACCGATGTAGGGCTCGTAGAGCCCAGCGGCTCCTCACACCATGGAGGAGTGACGGGAACTCACCGAGGATACTGCTCCTTCCCTTGGGAACGCTCAGCTGCACGGTGGACTCCGATCCTCATGCTGCAGTTTATTACTTTAAATACATACATTTTGGCTCCAAGCCTGTCATTAAGTCCAAAAATGGTCCATTTCAATTAAGGGCTTCAAAGAGAGCCCAGGACTAATGGTCTATTTCTGGCCGTTTTGAAATACTCCCAACCACGTGGGCTGCTTGCAGGCTGAGAAAGGCAGACTTTACAACGCTCTCGGCAGTTTCTTGCCATCACTTTTTCCTCTCCCCAGTAACTTCAGGGCTATAAGGAGGAGGATCTGACCCTCCCGGCACATCTCACCGGTGCTGTGGAAGGGAGCAGATGTCTAATGAAGGGAAGATCTTCATGGCATGGGTGGGATTAGACAAAGATTCCCTTCCTTTCTTCCTTCTCCCCAGCCCACATCCCATGCTGGCCCGTGGGCTCAGGTCCTCCAGCAAGAAAGGACAGACCTTTTGCTGTCCCCAAGAGACAGGCAGAGGCTGGAAAACCACTTCCCCAGGTCCTGCATCTCCCCATCAAGAGATATGGATGTGAAGAAGCTCCAGCTCACCTTGGAAGGGTCTGTTCCCAGCACGACCAGCCTTGCTCTTCACCTCCCTTCCCTTGTTTCCAAAGTTCCGGGCTTTCCGCAGACTTCACTCCCCACACTGTCCCCAGCTCAGGAGGCACCAGCCTCACTGCTGTCACTGAAAGCCAAGAAAAACCGAGGCTGCAAATAACCCCCTGGGCTCGTAACCAAGAAAACGCCAGCGTTGAGCAAAGCCATCTTCCAACCTGCCTGCCCTTGGGATTTGCTGGCAGATTTTTGTCCCAGCTATTCACGGCTGTTGGGGTGACCTGAGCTCTGGTAATAAAACTGCTTTAACCAGAGGCTCTCTTACCCCTGAGGATGGCCACGCTCAAGAATTTGGTTCACAAATCAGGTGTAAACACAAGCAGGTGCCAGTATAAGCAGCCCTGGAGTGTGTGGCTTCTCCTCCACAGGGATACTGTGTAGATATAATAATTTTTTAAGGGCAAGGCTTGTCGACACGCATCGGTGCAGCTGCTACTGCAACCCAGGCGAGGAGAAAAAGATGCTTTTTTTTTTTCATCCTGGAATCACTCACCCCTTACGGCTCAGGGGCAAACAAAGGGCCTTATGTGAGACATACAGAAACCACAGAGCGGGGCTCTGCTGATTCGGCTTTTCCAGTGCAGCTCGTTGAGCAAGTAGTGAGCTCCCCCATCTCTCCCCCCAGCTTAGGGGCTGTTTTATCACTTCACTGCTACTTTACAGCTAAAAGCACTTCTCTCCTTGGTGTAAAGGCTCACAGAGAGTTGGGAAAGCGACAAGGTTTTCTGGACACCACCCTACATGTCTCACTGCCCTGGGCAGGGGGATGCGCAGCTCTCAGAGCTTGCTGTGTTTCTTGCCCTGCTTCTCCCTTGCTGCCAGCCTCGGGGCTGTCCCTCGAAGGTCCCTCCCAGGGGACCCGACTTTTTCTGCCTTGTTCTCCTGGGACAGTTCCTCCTGGGCTGTGGTGTCCCCTCCTGGGCTTTTGGGCAGGTGCCTCGGTGGCATGTCCCCGTGGGGGTGGGAGGTGTGGAGGAGAGGGAGCTCGGGCATGGCCGTCTCCATCATCTGAAGGAAGTCGTAAGCGGGGAGAGGTGGCTTCCAGTCTTCCTCAGACAAGGTACCTGAGAAGCAAACACACCCCCGTGTCAATCAGTTATGCAGCCCACTCCACTGACATTTCCCTTCCGAAGGAATTATGGCTTCTAATTTATTTATTTTTCCCCAGCGAATGCAAAATTCAAGATTTTTCCTTAAAGACTTTCCTCCAAGACTCATTAAACCCATCCAAATTAAACCAGTCAGGGGTGCATCAGCATTTACTGGAGCCGGCCAAGGCTTTGCTCTCTGAAGGCTGTGGGGGTCCCTACATCCCTACTGCCAAGGGCACACTCGGGGACTGCCCACCAGTGGGGAGATGCTTCCTTTGGGTCTCAGATAACACCATTAATGACTGTGCATTACTGAGAGGCCATTAGGAGTGAGGGGAGACTGCTGTCTGCACGGGGAGGAAGCGGTCGCATTACATGAGGATGCTCTTTAATTTATGCTTTTAAGACTGATCACAAGGTTTGTGGCACTTAAAAGCCTGAGGAAGGAGGCTGGCACAGCCCTCGGTGGCACAGCGAGCGGCTCAGCCCCTCTGGCACCCCTGAAAACTAAGGTCCCTCCTTAGAGACCTACATGAGAGCAAAGGTGCCTTTAGCAGGGGTGATGGAAAGAGGTGTGGGAGGATGGCTGCCTCTCCCAGTGTGATTACTGGGTCAGAAATGGTGTTTTGAGTTCTGGCGAGAGCCTACACATCCTCCTCCACCATGCTTTTGGAAACATTTGCTTTGAAAGGCTCTTTTTAAAATTCACAAGGATCAAGCGGTGTCTACCCATCGCCTTCCCAGAGCCTGGAGGAGGCTGGCAGATGGGAATTCCCAAGATACCTGTAGCATCCCTTGGCTACACCTAAGACATAAGGAAGGCACATTTGTGCTGCCTTCCTCCAAAGCTTGAGCGGGCTGATCAAGGCAGAAGGGATGCAGTGAAAAGCTTTAGAGTACAAGCCAACCCTTTGTGTCCCAAAGACCACAGCAAAGCACCAGCTTCCTTAACCTCTCCCATCCAAAAAAATACTGGAAGGTGCTTAAAGAG